TCTCCTGCTTTTAGTTAATTCATGGGCCCAAGTAAGGAGACAGTGCTCCACAGCAAAAGCCGTTAAGTAACCTGTTACATGGAGAAAACTGTGAATTGCTCCCCCAGGACTGCATTCCCCTGGATGCCTGTTATAATGCCTGTTTCCCACTATCAGGGGGATAAAAAGACATGTCTTAAAGCCCTGTGCGAATAAGGTTATGGGACAGCCCAACCTAGCATTCACCTGATTGTTTTCATGTAATATTTACTTGCCCAGAACGGGGCAGGACTAATCTAATTCAATGCTCACAGCAGGCTGGCAAGGCACCCAGCCCTGCTCTGAGCTCTGCAGGTGCAGAAGTAGACTAGGAGAGGGGGGTGAATGGGCTTTTCAAGGTTGGGCAAGCAGTGCTAGGATTCCCCACCTTGGGCTACATTTCTTTTCTTACTGAATACCAACTTTCTATTTAGCAACTCCTCACTCTAGTTTGTTGCTATGGAAGTATAAGTCATCATTTTGAACAAGTTTATTGATTACCTGCTATTTGCAAGTGACCTGGGCTGAGCACTGTGGACAAAGTCAGCCAGCAGAAAGCTCCTATTCCCCTGAGGTGACTGGTGACACTGATGCAAGGATACACAGACACTCAGAGCTAAGGAAGCATAAAAACAAAAAAGCCAAGTCATTACAAGTGCATGCTATTGGTATAAGGCCCAGAGAGGGCTTGAGGGTCACTGTGGCACAGAGGACTCAGATACAAGGTGTGCTGGGACTTGGAGAGCCCAGAGTAAACAGAAGGCAGAAGAGAGGGGGAACTGGGAGGGAACTGTTGCGGTAGCGAAGCCAATTCTTCCTCTAGAAATGCTTAAGAAGAACTGGGATCCTTCACCAAGCACCCGGGACAAGATGACTGTGAGAATTCCACAGCAAACAGTTTAGCAGAAACTTTCATTTTTGCACAGGGATGCCAACAGGTTTCACCTGGCACAACACGCCAATCCTTCGGCGGGGAGCCATCTTTAGCTCTCTATGGAGGGGTTTCTGAGGTTCTTCTCAGACTCCATGGGAGGGGAAGCTGGGATTGATTAGTAATGTCTGCCATGCTGGCCTCTGAGGCAGTAGTAGCAGGATCCAGGCTGTGAGTTTCCCTTTCTGGTTCCAAGAGAGCTGTGTCTATGTACAAAACCCTGTCCCAAGGCAGGGTGGGTATGGCCAAATGACTGGATGCAGGGGGAGAAAATTCAAGTAAATTAGACAAAATGCCAGAGCATCTGCCCGTTGTGAACAGATAAAAATTCTGGGCACTGCTGTAGGCCTGGACAAGTGAGGAGGACAGACATCACCAGTACAAACGAGGGAGCACTACAGGGCAGAAACAGCATATTGGGGAGGGCACATGAAAATGGGAGCAAAGGGGAGCTCTGGGGGCCATCAGCATGGCTATCCTGCCACAGACCCCCTGAAGACACCAAAGATGACAGCAATTCTGGTTGGGCATGAGCTGAGGTTGGGAGAAGACAGTGAGCCAAATCCATCTAGATGGGGAGGGGAAAGCTGTGTCCGACACCTTTCTGTCTCGAGAAGGATCCTTATCATCAGAACTGCCTTGGCACTGAGACTGGACCTCCGGCAGCTGGAGTCCAGAAAGCAAGAGGCCATGGAGCCAGGTGGATGGACATAGTGAGAGAAGAAAAGGCAAAGTCCACTCCAGTGAGTGAATAAAAGCATGTTAAGTGGGCATTTATTGAGCACATAATACATTAAGTGCTCACAATACAACAAGTTCTATGGAGCTTGAACAATTAAATGAAAAACCTATTGAGCTGTTCTGTCTTCCATGCATGCTAACCAGCATCCTAGGAGCCTCCTTACTAAGGAAATCAAGGAGGAGCGTGAGAGGGGCTTCCAACCATGTCCTTGCCCTAGAAGCCCACCTGCCCTTGCAGACTACTCAGCTCCCTCACACAACTGTTCTCCTTCCACGTTCTACCATCCCTTCACGTCTACCTCTGCTATAATTTCCCTTTATTTCACCCAACTTTCTCTAACATTTATATGCCCTTAGCTCCAGGGCCTTTCTGAAGCTGTGCAAACTGTTCTCTTTTATTATTCACTGTGAACACAAGCATTAGTAAACAGGAGAAGAAAGAAAGAGAAGTGCCCTATTTTTAAAGCTTGAACTGTTAGAACTGCACAAGGCTTGCGGGGGCGGGGGATTATCATTCATTTTAGAATATTGAAAGAATTTTTTAAGAGTGTAGGGAAAATGGTATGCTTAGGCTGATGGTCACACCAGGTTCACTAAGGAGATCTAGAGATAGTGGCTCTGTTGCTAGGTAACCACTCAAGGACAGCTAGTTATGTAACTATGGCTGAGTTCACATGTGCCATAAGTTGGCAAAATGACACTCTTGTCTCTATCTGTATAAAAACCACAGCACAGAGTAGTGTGGGCTATGGTACTGCAGATAATAAACCATGCCAAAACCCTCTGGACTCTACATTTCTTCTCCAGACTATCCGAGTCACGGATCACTCTTCTCAGAGCACAGCATTTGACCTACACAAAGAAATTTTTTTCAGCATAATCCATCCCTTGAATCTTACCATGGTTGTCACTTCTAGGTTCCCTTCCAACACTTATCCTTAAATCTAGCCTGGAACATGGTAAAAACCAAGAGGCAGATGCAATATTACTTTGTATATTTTCCCTCACAGTTGTTTCAGAAGAACTATTTCTATACAGGCATTATAGTTGTGGAGGGAGTTACTTCAAAATGTGCTCTCCAGTTGACTGGCCATGACACATTTAACCATCCACCTATTAGGCAGTTAGGCTGTTTTCAGGGGGTAAGCTTCGGTCCTGTATGCTGCTGTGCCAATTTAGCTACTGCTTCCTTCATTGTAAGAACCTCGTCAGGACACACAACACCAAGTCCGCGTGCCCAGATGTACCACAACTGTTATTCATCAGTTGGCAGATACCTGGATTCTTTGCCCTTTTTTGCTATTGTAAATAGTCATCTATAGATAAGCATGTGAGTGTATGTTCTCATTTCTCCTGAGTGTGTACCTAGGGATGGAGTTGCTGCCTCATGTGGCAAGTCTATTTAATCGTTTGAGGAACTGCTGGGCTGTTTTCCAAAGTGTGGATGGGTTCCAATTTCTCCACATTCTCACCAACACTTGTTACTGTCGTTTAAATTATAAATGCCCTAGTGAGTGTGAAGTGGTAAGTCACTGTGCTTGATTTGCACATGCCTGAGGACTAATGGTGTCAAGCCACTTTTCATGGACTTTAAATTAGACATATTTGTGTGTCTCCTTTGAAGAAATTTCTAATCAAATCCTTAACCTACTTTTAATTGTTTACCTTTTGTTTTTTAATTTTAGTTATCGTACATTCTAAATACAGGTTTCTTGTCTTTTCTCCCATTCTCTGGTGGCCTTTTCACTTCCTTGTGATTGTTGAAGAACAAGTTTTTCATTTTGATGATGTCCAATTTATCTACTTTTTCTTTCATTCTTTTGTGCTTCTTCTGGTCATATCTAAGAAATCAGTACCTGATCTCTGGTAATGAAATTTTACTCTATGTTTCCTTCTAAGAACATTATAGATTTACCTCTTGCATTTGATCTGTTTCGAGTTGACTTTCATACACAGTGTGAGGTAGAATCCAGCGTCACTCTTTTGCATGTGAATATCCAGTTGTTCCAGCACCACTTGTTGAAAAGACGGTTGTTTCCCCCACTGAAGGGTCTTGATATCCTGGTGGAAATCAACTGACTGTAAATGCAAGGGCATATTTCAATTCTAGTGGTCTATATCTCCGTTCTTATTACACATTTCACTTTATACCTATCCTTACTCATCTTAAGTCAAAAGTCAAGAGTGGGAGTAAAACATGTGCATGTGAAGAAGAGCAATAAGAACAGCCACATTCATTTTTGTGCAACATCTCCATGGTTCTGATAAAAACAAAATACATATGCATGTGCCAGCTACAATATAGGGAATTGTATAATTTCTGTGATTCCACATAAGTTAAATGCACCTGCATTTGTATTTGAAACTGGCATTGTACGATATAAAGATGACCTGTAAAATTCACCTGTAATAGTCCAAAATTTTAACTTTTATTTAGGATGATATTAAAAGAGCAATTAAGAACAGTATAAAAGCTTAGGAGAGAACTGAGAAGGAAAAAAAGGCTCTATGCTTTGTGGCCTTTAACCACAAGTTTACTCTTTTTCTGAACAAGGAGCCTTGTGTTTTAAGTTTGCTCCAGAGCCCTAAAGATTTGTAGTCAACTGTGCAGCAGTGTGAGGTGTGGGAGAGGCCAGCTCAGGGTGGCAGGACGGCTGCTGTCTACTGAGATGGGTACGACCGTCCACGAGGCAGGTGGGAGCGCAGAGACAAAAGTTAGTCTTGGGGGGCTGGAGGCGTGGCTCAAGTGATTTACAATGCTTGCTTAGCAAGTGCAAGGCCCTAAGTTCAAACCCCACAGCCATCAAAAGTAAAAAGAGGTTTGGAGTTTTCCCGTTTTCATTTGCAGTAGGCCTCAGGCTAGAGACGCAAACTGGCAGGCGAATATACAAGTTTGGAACTCATGACCATTTCTTGGGTCACCTACCATGTGCAGAGAGCATTGCACAGAGCCCTAGATATGGCCAAGCACAGTGGGTGTTAATGGAGATTCAAAAAAGGCGTCTTCCACTGCAACTTTCATTGAAAATGTGTTACTGTTACTATTTTCCTGTGACCTGTGTGTCCTCTTACCAGCGCGAAACTACGCACTAGAACCCCTTGGGCCACGCGCTCCAGAAGCGGCTTCCAGCAAGGCCGGCCGGCCCTCCAGAGCACCGAGCCTGCGGGCCAGAGCGCCCGCGCTCCCTCCCGATCGCGGCGACGCCTGATGACGCGCCGGCAGCGACAGTGCGCCTGCGCATGGGCGCTGGGGGGGGGGGGAGAGAGAGAGATACGACAGCCTTGTACGTCATCGCAGGCGCGACGCTCCGAGGGACACTTTGGGGTCCGGCTGTCGGGAAGGTGCGGCAGCGAGACTGGCCGGGAAGATGCCAGTGGCGGTGATGGCGGAAAGTGCCTTCAGTTTCAAAAAGTTGCTGGATCAGTGCGAGAACCAGGAGCTCGAGGTAGCCGTTTGCGTCGCGCTGGGAGAAACTTCGGGGCGCCGGCGCTGCGTCGGTTTCCAGGGTAACGGGACCCGGGCCTGCCGGCTGCAGCGCGCGCTGGGCGGGTGCGGGAGCGGGAGCTGGATGTCCGACCTGACGGATCCCGGCCGGGTCTCCCCGAAGTCGTAGGCACCTTGTTATCTGCTATAACCCCCAACTGTACGTCCTGATTGGACTCGTTGTCTTCCCTGGTTGTTTTGGGGGCGGCACCGTCGCGCAGGTAGACACCCCCGATGCCAGATCACACAGGACAAGAAAGAAACCGCTCCCGGCTTTTTTAAACCCGAAAAGTCCCTCTTAGTCTCGTGAAGTTGTACGCAAGGAAGCTTGCCACGTTGTCTGATGAGTCAGGTGAAGGGGGTGTTGTGTAACTGTTTTCTCTTAGAAAGTTGCTTAAGCATAGCGTTAGTGTAAAAAGTTAAAGGAGACAACAGCTAGAAACAGCAGCTCGCTGTACACGCTTAGAAAAAAATTTCATGAATTAAGATAAAATGAGAGAAGTGTCTTTGGAACTCAGCTGTGGTGTTTTTCTGTTTCTTACATAGATACCGTATTTATTTGCTTTAATGGGCAGAATCATAATGCTGTAGGGATCTGTTGGAAAGTATTTGTTTCCTATAATAGTAAGCTACCTGAATTAAAAGTCTGAAAACTGGCAAAGGAACTCCGCGTTTCTATTTTTGTATACGTAAAGGAATCGAGGCCCAAAGGGAGATAGAATCACATGTGATGAGAGGTCCAAACCCACTGCTTGATTTTAGTGCTTGGTATTTCTCTAAGCTGTTTCTTCATCATAGTAGTACTATACAGTGGGCTTGCTTTTTAAGTTAGATGTAGTAAAGTATTGTTTTGCAAGAGTAAATGAGATTTTTCTCTTATTTTTGGCCTTCCAGGCCCCTGGAGGAATTGCTACCCCCCCAGTGTACGGTCAGCTTCTAGCCTTGTATTTGCTCCATAATGACATGTAAGTACCTTTTGCCAAAAGTTAAGAGCAGCATAGTCCTCGAGGTTATGCAGAAATTACTCGGCATCGACACAGACCATTAAACATAGGCACGATGAGCTCTATCTTTTGTTCTTATATCTACTTGCCTATTTTCTGTTGGATGAGTTCTGAATTCTGTTGTAACGAGTTATGATTAGGTTCTTATTTGGAAATGCATTTGTTTTACCTGTACCTTCGAAATACATTTCACTTTGTCACAAAGTAGTCTCAGTAACCATCCGCCTTTTCCGCTTTTGTCTTTAAAAAATTTCAGTATGATCTGTTTACTTAATTTTAAATGTAACCAGTAGACCAAAAGAAGCAAAAAGGGAGGATTGAGAAAGCCAAGAGGAATTCATTACCAACATGTATGAGATTCCTTCGAAGTTCTTTTAAAAAAAAAATTTTTTTGCTCATGTTCTTAGGAAAATCACTAAAGAATGGAAGTCCTCCTGTAGTTCTGCAAACCATCAGCAAATCCTGATAAAATTTTGTTTTAAATTCTCCCAAACCCTTTTTGATGCCCTTTTAAAGACTTAAACCGAGATTTTCATTTCAGGTGTCATATCAGTTATTTGTTTCACTATTTGTAATCCCACTATCTTATGTTTGTTTCAGCCCCTTAAAAACTCCTGCCTTAGATTTTAGAGGCTCTGTACCTACTGGGAGAAAGGATCGTAATGAGAAAAGCATTGCACACCATACTTCCTGTTAGAGAATATTACAGGCTTTTAGGTTCATGAACTTGTTCACTTTTGTATCTGAGTGAGTTGTGGCCATTCTATATAAGTATGTGTTTTTAATTATCTTAATTTAAGGTCTGGATCACTAGTTTTACTGATCATTCTGTACAAATGGCAAAATGGTACTTTGATAAAAATATTTTGTCTTTTTATCTGTCAAACCACTCTTTCTTCCCCAGAGAAAATTTATATAAAACTAAATTTTATTCTGTATTGCGTAAAGTGTACATCTGAATGCTTGCGTTGGGACTTAGTAATTTTAAGTATTTATTAAGATGATTTTTTAAATACTGATGGTTCTTTGTGTAAATTAGGAATAATGCAAGATATCTTTGGAAAAGGATACCACCTGCTATAAAATCTGTAAGTGTCTTTCATCACATTTGTGCTTCAATATAGTAGTGACACTTAAATGGTAACCTTTTATAAGTTCCTGTTTTCTTTCCCAGAAAGAGTTGTTAAGTTAGCATTGAAGTTAAAAATCTTCATATTCCTCTAATCAGAGATTTTAATTTCCACGGAATGGTACAGAAACCTGCGTTCAGCAACTAGGATATGATTTCTTGAGGCCGGTCTCATAAGTGTGGTTTGATTAGCTGACAGCCAGCAGCATAGGTTCAGGAGGATGGGGCAGTGGCTGAGGTAGGGACAGTTTGGAGCTGACTCGTACATCTTCAAGTAATGGCACTTACTTTGAAGCTGGTTTATTTATGATTAGTTTGCTAATGAGACTTCTTATTTTTGATGGATTAGATAAATGACCTGTGAAATGTTTCTCACAAAGCAGAACGAAATCAATTTTTATTTTCAGGTGACACTTCCCTTCTTTCTCTGACATTCTGCTTAGTAAGATTGGAATGTTCCTCAGACTCTTGGGTTAAATAAGGGATTTTAAATTATACAAATTACAATAATGTCAGTAGAAACTGCCCTTCAGCTCTAGCGTGTACTATCTTAGATTGACCATCTGTGGTGAACCAGTTGACCATTACTTTTGTCCTAACTGTACGTATGTACTGTGTCCATTTATACTTTGTGCATGCATTGGGGGGGGGGAGAAAAATAAATGGCGACTTTTTTTTTTTTTTTTTGTGGTGCTGGAAGTTGAACTCCGGCACCTAGCAAAACCTAGTCTAGTTTTTGCTAGACTAGGCAAGTGCTCTGCCACTTGAGCTGTGCCTCACTTGTAGTTTGATTTTCAGATAGGTTCATGCACTAACTTTGCTCAGACTGGCCTTGAACTATGATCTTCCTACCTCTGCCTCCTGAGTAGCTGGGATTACAGGCATGTACCATAGCTCCTGGCTTGTTTTTGAAATGGGTTGTTAACTCTTTGCCCAGACTTCCCTCAAACTGAGATCCTGTCTCTGCCTCCTAAGTAGCTGGGATTAGAGGTGTGTGCCACCCTGCCTAGCTTAATGCCAACATCTTTTAAAACAACAGTGCTTAAGGTAATTAGTCCCCAGCTTAATTCTGACATAATCTTGGACTACTTTCTCATTGCTGTTGTAACAGAAATGTGGGTCAAATGTACAAGTATTTTACATTACTGTCCACAGCATTTTAAAACCTTTTAATAGTAGAAAAGTACTTGCATCTTTTAAAAGAAATAATTGAATTATGTCTTCAGTGGTAATGAAACAAATTTTATGTTAGTTGTAGTATTTTGTTTTAAGGTACAGTCATTGGTAAATTGCACAGTGAATTCCTTCAAAAGCAATCCTATTTATTGCAGGCAAATTCTGAACTTGGGGGAATTTGGTCAGTAGGACAGAGAATCTGGCAGAGAGATTTCCCTGGGATCTATACAACCATCAACGCCCACCAGTGGTCTGAGACGGTCCAGCCAATCATGGAAGCACTTAGAGGTAGTGTTTCTTTGTAATTAAAAATGTCATTGGACTGAATCTGTTCTCAAAGTGCTACAATGTTGAATGAAGTCCACATGGTTTTGAAAAGTAGCTATTTTCTGCTAGATGTGTGGAGTGGTTTTCAGAATTCATTTTGACTTGTTCTAGTCACGCTCCTCATGTTGCTAAAGGCTTTTTTTTCTGTTGGTTTAGATTGAAACTGTTCTTAGCAGTGAGAGGATTTCTTGCTATTAAAATGAAGTCTGGCAGTACTTTAAAATCCATGATGTAGGTTGTCAAGATTTGTTAAATCTGTGTATTTGAAAATAGAGACTGTACTTTGGAGTTTGTCAGCCTCGGCCTTTGATAGGTGTTATATCCAGTTTATGAATTTTGTAACTCATCTGTTCAGTGGCTAGCTACTGATGTGTTTTCAGTTGCTTTGAAAGATTGCAGGCCTGGTGTGACATACCACTGATCCCACAATAAAATCTCATCTCCTGACTCTCTCCATTCCCCACTCCATAAAATTTGCTTCCAGACTTTGTGGCTCACTCTTTTATAAATCCATATAGTGATCTCTTTTTGTTATACTCTTCTTATTGTTACTTCACTTCTCAGCTAACACCTGCCTTCACCGTAGGCCTTCCTGCGCTACTAGGAAGTACTCATTGCTGTTGTAAGGAACATCAGCTTTACAAGGTAGCAGTTGGCAAAGATTGTTTTCAAAATATACCTAACTCCCTTGGAAGAGTAAAACTCTTATCAGCATAAAACAGACCAACGTATATGAGGAAGCAGTGGATGAAAATAAGCAGAATTGTAGGGCAGGCAGGTGGGAAGGGAGAACAGTAGAATGAAGTCTCACAGGTACAGTGGGACAGTTTGATCATTGGCATAACAGGAATTACCCTTCATCTCTTGGTCTAAGCCCCAGCAAGTTAGTGTGGTGATAGACTCTCCGAGGATTGAGGTCAGGCCAGTGATTGCAGTGGGGAGGACACTGGTTGCCCAACAGTGAGTTCATTGTCAGGACTTCAAGTGTTTTGTTGTGTGCCTTCATCTATGGTTTATTCCTTCCCAGTGCCGCCTCTCACCATGGATTCTCCATTAGAGAGTTGGGAACAACCCAGTGAACCCCCCCAAAAGGCCATATAGAGTTTGGACTCTGGAGCCAGGCTTCTAGTTTAGTCACTCACTAGAGGGTTAGTGGCGGCGGGGGGTGGGGGGGACCTCAAGGTAAACACTTATATTCTAAAACAGTCTTCTGTCCACTTATAAGAGTATGTGCTGAGACTTACAAATCCCCAGATTCATAAACAGCACCATGTTTTCCTCCATAAGATGCTGCCTGCTGAGGATATTCAAAACAGACTTGAATTACTATAGTGTTTAATATTTTGATTGTCAGTACATTATAAACTTGTTTGCTAATTAAGAACAGTTTTCTGTTGTTACATGGAACTGACTGAGGCTGAATACTTTGTAAAAAAAATAGGTTTATTTGGCTCACAGTTTTAGGAGGCTGAAAGTCCAAGATCAGCCAGCCCCATTGACCTCTTGTGAGGGCCTCCTGGTAGATGGCGTCACAGTTGTGTGGAGTATGTGTGGAAGAGATCACATGGTCGGACAGGAAGCCAGGGGGTTTTCAGGGGCCAAACGTTCTCTTGGAACTAACTGGGATCCCACAAGAACATTAATCCTGTTAGAGGGTAGTGTCCCAGTGACCCAACCACCTTTCATTAGGCTCCACCATTGAAAGGTTCCACTACATCAACATCACTACACTGAGTACCAAGCTTCCAGTACAGGAACCCTTGGGAGACACTCTCAAACCACTCCCAGACCACAGCAGTTGCTTGCTTAGATCCTTCCCATTCCCTGGTCGTCACAGTCCTACTAGAAAATTGAAGATGGTTTAATTAAAGTGAGGCTAGTAAAAGAACTATTTTCACAGGAAACTTCAAGCAGGGGCTGGCCAAGTACCCAGGAACTAGGGTCTACAGCTGTTCTCATCCCAGACCTGAAGGGGTGGGATAAGGGACTAGCATTACTGGAACTGTGTAAAAGGGCTGCCCACAGGAGCTAGGGATACAAATCCATAGCTTCTTGGAGCAAGGCAGGGAGGAGGCAGAGGAAATAAATTTCCTGACCCTTGCTCTGGCCCCTGACCTCCCAATGGATCACCTGTTTGCCAAGCCAGGGAGCTCAGGTGCTACAGGCATCAGTGGCCAACCTTCCCTGCTGAGAAGAGGAGAATAGATTAGAAAGGGCAGGACACTGACCAGCTCACTGATTAGCAGTTCCTGGTTGATGATAGGCACATAAGTATTTGTCAAATAACTGAATAAGCCCCAGTTTTCACCAAGAATGCAACCCAGATGTTAGGTGCTAACTCAGTTTATAGCCCACCATCTTCCTTGTTGGGACTTTTTCTGACTGCACAGCTCTTGAGGGTCACACAGTGACTAGTCAGAATGTAGATGTAAGAGTCATCATGTCCAGTTAAACAGCAGCTTTAATGCTGCAGCACTAACTGCTGCTAAGAGCACTTGTCACCTGCTTCTGCTTCTCCCTGCTGTGTTTCTCTTCTGTTCACATTCTATTCCTGCTGTCTTTCCCCACTCTAAAAATCTGACCTAAATTATACGAACTAAATAATTGTTTTTAAAATATAGTAGGCTTGTCAAATGAATATAACTTTATGGTATACATTTTTAAAAAAAATTTTTTTTTGGTGGTACTGAGGAATTGAACCCAGGGCCTCACACTTGTTGGCCAGGCGCTCTGATATTTGAGCCACTCCACCAGCCTTTACACTTTATTTTTCTAAGGAGACAAATGCATGTTCCTTTTCCAGTGCTGCCATGGTTCTTTCCCATTGACTGTGTATTGCCTTCATAGAAATATTTTTGTATTTCTAAGGTGTTCTAAAAGTCTCCTGGAGGCTAGTAAAAAGAAGGAAGGAACTGAGTGTAAAGACACGGTAGGAAGAGCAAATACTGGCTCAGTGAGAGCTGGAGAGGCCATCAGGCTCAGTATGAAATGGAGGAGTGTTGCTGAGTGTCAGCAATTTGTAAGGACCATGAGAAAACAAAACCTAAGACTAGGGTCATGCCCCATTTTGGTCCTAGTGGTACCATTGATAAGCATGTATTAGGCACATACCTCACTGTAGATACACAGACATAAGCAGTAGCCTTTTCTTTGGGAGGGTTAGACCGTAAGTGAGAAGATGTTGGGTGATCTGGTCTTGCTTATAAAAATAAGATGACAACAATACTGTTATGTGACTGTGTTTGTGCCTCCCTGCCAACACTCCACTTCCACGATAGATGCGACAAGGAGACGTGCCTTCGCCCTGGTCTCTCAGGCGTACACCTCGATAGTTGCTGATGATTTTGCAGCCTTTGTTGGACTCCCTGTAGAAGAGGCCGTGAAAGGTGCTTTTAGCTTACTTTTTACTTACAAGGGAAACAAAATAGAGGTGTGAATTACAGGTTCATAGTCCTCTGAACCCTCAGAAATGGGTGTGGTTTTGAAAATCAGGTGGTGGTTGCTTTTTAGGAAGGTGATATGAAACATGTTTGCATACCACCCCCAGTGGGGCTTTGGAATACAAAGCTGTAATCAAACCATGAATAGCTCTGTAGAAGCAAAGCTGACTGTCTGCACAGTTGGTTAAGTAAATACATTTTGATTGACCTCAGTGCCCACATTCAGAAATCCTTATTTCACGCCAACTTGGAAAGGCAGTCCAATCTGCACATCCCTTTGCAGGCCTTTTTCCCCTACCATTTCTTCCTTTACTCTTAAGTGCCTTCTGCTCACTCTTAGGTACATCGCATATCTTAGAATATCACATACACTTTGTTCCATTGATTTCTGATGATTGACAGTTTTGGTTCTCCAACTAAAATACAAGCTCCATGAAACACCACTTTTTAAGTGTCCAGGACCTAGCACAGTTTTAGATATTTAGAGGACAGGGTGATGCTGTTTATTTTACTCACTTTGTTTTGGTGCTGGAGATTAAACCCAGGGCTTCATATGTGCTAAGCACGTGCTTTATCACTGAACTGCACCTCCAGCCCCATTGTTCTTACAGTAAATCTGTTACTCATGTAAACATACATTCATCGTGACTCTTCTCTTAAAATTGGTCTATAATTTGTTGTCCAATAGATGATGTGCTCCAGAGCCCATACTCTTAGTGGACTGGACTGCCTGGGTTTGAATCCTACTCCCACCCATCCCTCATGCTGGCCACATGACCTGGTTCTCACTTCTGTGTCTGAGCTTCATTTTCCATACTTGCTAAATGAGGGCTGTATGCCCTGCTTCACAGAGTTGGGATAGTTACATAAATTGGTCCCTATAAGAGCACCTTTTGGGGTTGGGGGTATAAAAGAAAGATGGAGGGGGTGAATCTGAGTTGTATTGTAGGCACTTTTATAAAAATCAGTGTACCCTTGGTCAACTACTACTATGCTAATTTTAAAAAAGAAAGGCAAGAGGAGCAAAAAATATGCCCTCACTACCTCTGTCAACCAGTGTAGACTCTTAAGGGACAATGACAAAGTTCTGTCATTTGACTAAAGGCCAAAAAGAGTGAGTACCTATCATATTAGGAATATGATGATGACAAAAGGCATCCTACACATTTTCCTTTTGTGTGGTTTTAATAATATTGATTAGGTTAACACCTTATGGAAAACTAACCATCTGTTAGTTATTATAGCAGCCTAACAATAAAATGCAGCTTTGAAGCTTAGGTAATTTCTGTGGTATACCTTGCTGGTAAACCTATTTGTAGCAGGCCGAATTAAGCATGTCTGCTCTCTTACATAGTTATGTCCTGGAAAGGTTGTAGACCTTTTTGGGTGTTTGTGTTATTTCTTCATCCATATGTGAAATACACACTTTTAGGTATATTGGAACAAGGATGGCAAGCCGACTCCACAACAAGAATGGTTCTGCCCAGGAAGCCAGGTGAGTGGAGCCCTTCAGTCCTTCCTAAAGCAGCAAACTCAGGTAAGACTGCTTTAGGTTCCCGGCCTTGAATTTGAATAATGTAACTCAAAATACTTTACTGAAACAGTGGAACTAACTCACTCACCTGTTAAGTCTGGGTCTAGAATGTAGACACTTAGGGTAGAAGGATCTTAAAGGCACCTAGTTTTACCTTAATTTTTAAAGACATATTCCTTGTAAAAAGGCTCTTGTATGCCATTGTTCTTAGTACAACTTATGTTTTTGCTGAATATTAATCTTACATCTACAGAGCCATTTCTATCTACATATCCTTAATGTCTAAATTACTGCCATTTAAAAAATTAAATACTTAGCTCTTCCCTCGTCCTGTACTTGAGTCACACAGACTCTGCTCTTGTGGCCTGTCCCTGTTGTTTCTCAATTCCCAGCCCCTCCATCTTGCTCTCTGAAGTGAGCCATGCTCATTGCTGCCTCATAGTTGCTGTTCCTCCTGCTTACCAGAGTGTCCTTTTCTGCCAGGCCTTTAGAGCCAGCCTTCATGCCATATCCATAAACCTCCTGCATCAACCCCAGTTTCCATCACCTACTTTGAAAGCCTGTTGTTTAGACATTGTTGAACACAGAGGAAATAGTACACAGATGTCATTTTGCTCAGCCTGTGAAGGCACACAGTGATGGGGCATGGTCCCACCCATTCTGGATGGTAAAGGAAGACTAATGTGGTAAAGACATAAAATGCAGCATAACATTATCCCTGTTTGAAAGCCAAATGGCTGTAAATGCATATGCATTAAGAATGGTATGTTCTTTGAAAGGCATTGACAGTGACCTACTAATTAGGCTGTAATTTTGTCTTGTTTTGTTTGGTTTTTGTTTCGTTGCAGGGGCCCTGGATGTTTCCTTCAACAGGTTTATCCCCTTATCAGGTATGTTCGTATGCTTATTTAAAAATGCTTCAGTGTTCTTATTTCTTTTTTGTAATGTGTACATATTTTTCTTAGCTCTAAGAAACATGGAGAGTAACCACTATAAATTTGTACTAATGCATCTAATTACATGTAGGAAACAATGGGCTCCCTGTACTTTACCTGGAAAGGTGACCACAGAGCAGAGCCACTTATATTCTTCCTTCTGTTTATTGAGAGGGCATCCCCAGGCTGCCTGGTAACTTATTGAGGATGATGTCTTGTTTTGTTCACTGATAATGTAACATTCTCCTGTACCAGGCACATTAGTAATTATTCCTTAGATTAAATGTCCCATGAGTAGAGGCCTTTCCAAGAAGATCTCTGACCTCCTGAAAGAGATGTTGTACATTAAGAATGTTTTGAATCTTCACACAGAATAGTTGAGTAACAGCAATAATGCCAGGCATGTGTTTACATCCAGTTTGGGAAAAACATGCTTACAAAAGTGTAGCTCTCTTGGCTTGCTTTCAAAAATGTCCAGGCTCCTATGGGACATGATTTTTTGTCTAAAATTAGGTAGATCTAGGAAATTTATGTTCTTGTTAAAATTAAAGGCATCATTAGGGTGGGTGACAGGGTTGAAACTTTGTACACTGATGTCTAACTTGAAGTGTGTTTCTCTGTCTTAACATGCAGAGCCTGCCCCAGTTCCACCAATCCCCAATGAACAGCAGTTAGCCAGACTGACTGACTATGTGGCTTTCCTTGAAAACTGACTCATCATTCTGAGTTCCAAATCCACCTTCAGAACGAACACTGACAAATACAGAAATGTAAAGTTTTTATTTTCAGTTTACTAGATGGAGTGAGCACCTCAGCATCCCTTACTGAGTACGTGATAAAATACATATATGAGATATATATTTTTTGTCCTTAGACATCATTATGAATAGTTGTTGAAGCAGTTTCTTGTTTTGTACCATTTAACAATTTGGTTGGAGCCCATCAGTATTATGCAGTTAGTTCATATTTCCAAGGGACTCATAAAATAAGCTCCCCTTCTCCATATGTGGAAACAGGGGTGTCATCTGTCTTCTCCATTCCCAGCACCCACTCCCATCCACACTGTTGCTTGATGTACTTGGGGTTTGAGGATGACTGGCCCCCAGGGACTGTACCTGAGCTGCTGGGATTATGATCACCCTCTTTGGAGAATGTGCTCTCTTTTCTCCTCACCTCTACTCATGTAGAGTATGGAAATATAGCTGAAAAAAGTAGACTTTCCTGAGTAAACCAACTTGTTAGCATTAGACTTTCCAGTAGAGTGAGTACATCCCTTGCTGGCAGTGGAGGGCTTGGCATGAACGTGTTACTTCCATTGAGTTCTAATAGTCCCTTCAGAAGAAGGGAAGAGTTAAGTGTGGGATGCATCCTGTGGGGAAAGAAGCTGTTGAGAGAAGAGAGGTGACACACTTTGTACAGTGCTCCCGCAGCCTGTCAGTTGCTTATCTTTGTCCCTTGATTTAAGTTCTGCCTTTTGAAGAAATGCTGAACAAGTCTTTCATCTTGTTGTGACAGCCCTCTGAATATTTGAAGTTGTTTATTGTATCTTGTTCAAGCACCCCTTAGTTTTTCATCTGCATTTATTCAATAAATATTTAATTGAATTCTTTTTTTTCTTTATTCATTTATTCATATGTGCATACATTGTTTGGGCCATTGAATTCTTCAACTGTTTCACTAAGATAGTTTCTAGAAATTATACTGTATTGGTTTTTCTGTGTACACTTTCTAACTTAAATTACAATTTTATTTAATCCTAGTAGGAAAGTCATGTTCTTAAAACTTGTTTTGCAGTTGAGGAAATGGAGATTTAAGAAGTTGGAGGCTCAACAGGGAGAGGGGTAGTATCAGTTTCTTAACTCTGGCTATTAAATGTAAGTCAAACCCATGGCAGATTGGAGTCCACCCAGCAGATTTGAATAGATGTGGTTTATAGTGTGGCTGCAACTGAAAAGGGAGTGAAGGAAATCTTTATGCTAAGGGTAGAGCAACCTTCAGAGTGAAATGGGAAGAACAAGGACCTTGTGTAGTGCTTTTGAGGATAACAAGGGAAAAATGATTATTAAGCACAAATAAAAATTGTTCTCTAAGAAGGAAGGAGAAGACAGTGAACTACTGTATAGAGAAGAAATAATTACCTTGTGTGGCTCCAACACTGCCACCCTATCAGTGGATCAGAGCTGCACCAAGGACTGAGATGCCAGGGACTTCCAGTTTCACGGTCAGTTTTACAAAATGATCTTTCTTCTTCATTATTATTAAAAGTGTGCTGTAGAATAAAGTTAGTAGTTATGTAACATGTATGGTCCTCAATTTGACTTGGAAACTTCATTATTTATTTATTTTTCTGTATAAACAAAATATTTCCTGCCTCTGTCCAGCTGAAAAGGCCTAGAGCGATTCTCATGTAGCAACACCAAGCATGACTAGTGTCTAATTTCCATTTTCAACTAAAAGGAGTAAGAACTTACAAAATAGCTAGCTCTAGGTCCAGGGTAGCAAGTCTACAAGTTGATATCCAGTACACAATGTCCCAGGTCAAGGAAGTTTTGAAAGACCCAAGGTTTTGTCAAAGTTGTAGACTCCAACTTGTTGGGGCTCCTACTGACCAAAAATGGAACAGTTTGAACATGAAAAATGTGTTTATATTTTTAACCCAAAGTTCTTGATTACACTAAAAAGCCAGATAAGTGCTTGATTCCCCTTCCTTCTTATTTATCGATTTTCTGAGTAATGAATCGATCCACTAGCAATTGCCAAAGCAACAAAGTGAACCTGAAGAGTGGTCAAACAGCTGAGGACAGAAACTGCTTTGTGGAGGAATTCCACCTAATCAGTGAAGATAGAATTAGAACTTTGTGGCCTGTCTTGGAAATAAGCACCAATGGATGCTGGACCGCAGGGTGACAGGACGAGACTAAGCATAAAATGCACTGAGCACACCCACTAGCCCCTCCTGGCTGCTCTGTGCAGCTGGACAGCACCCTGCTGTAGGTTACTGAGTGTCTAGCTTTTCATTCTGGCACTGCCACCAGAAAACATTCGAAACTGGGTAAGAAGGAGTTGGCCCTTGGGGCAGTCCTCCAGCAGTTAGGGGCATGACCCAGTGCATAAACACTTCTTGCTTGTCTCGGGCAAGCAAGTTCTCTGTGATTCTGACAAAGGACCCAGCAAATTTGAGCTGTGGTTTTCCTTGGTAACCAACTCTGCAACTCAGCCTTGGGTAGTTTTTTTCCCTCCTTCCTTGTTTCACTCTTCCCAGTCCCCCTTCTCTTGTTCCCTGGGGTCAGAAGAAGTGATCTATCTTCTTGCAGTCCTCGTCTCAGATTCTGCCTTCAGTGGAGACCCAAGTCAGATCAAAGAACAATTTATAGTTCATGGGCCAGGCTGACAGCACCAGAGTCCGCTCATTCCTAACATCACAACAGTGGGACAAGCATTGTGAGGGGATGGTATGGTAACCATACAGCATCAGCCATTAGGTTTTCTTGTCCAGTGTGTGTGCACACAAGTACCTAATCAGTGCTTTGGATCTGATTGCTAGTTTACATGAAATCTGAGCTTTATGCAACAAGTAGTTAACATTTGCCCTACTAAGAAGCAATCGGGGAGAGAAGGTTGTGTGCCCCTAAGTGGGCCAGAAGTAGAACTTCAGTAAAACTTCAACTGGGAAGCAGATCAGCATAATATCAAAACAAGCACAGAAGGAGAAGCATGTAACTGGAAAGAGAAACAGTGCACAGCAGAGAGCGGCCATGCATGGCATTGGATCCCAAGGAGGAGAGAGGGTGGAGCAGAGAAGTAAATACTTGAAAGGACTGATCCAAAATTTTCTGATGGAAAAAAAATTCAAACCACTGATTGGAAAAGCTCAGAAAATCCCACAGAGGGTAAATGCAAAGAAAATCATAGTGGGAAACCTTGTAGTGACACTATGGAAAACCAAAACCAAAGATTGTGGCAAAAGCACAGGGCAGAAGGTGGGGTGTTTTCTTAAAAAAATAAATGAATAGGTCCTGGCTATTATTTCAATCTTACTGAATTGTTAAATTTAATAGTTGGAAAAAGACACCAGAAGGCTGATGCAGCTTTGGTAGTTTTAAAGTAGACAAGGCGAGACAATTTTAGAGATAGAAAAGGATTTTAACAGAAAAGGTTGCACTAGTTTCCTGTCGCTCTGTAACAAATGACAAACTTGACAGCTTAAAACAACACAGCTACTTGGGAGGCTGAGATCAGGAGGACCGCAGTTTGAGGCTAGCCTGAGCAAAAAAAAGTTCACCTCAACCAATAGGTGGGTGCGCACCTGACATCCCAAGGCAGGAGGCTGAGATGTGGAGGATCACAGTTCCAGGGCAGCCCAGGAAATAAAGTTTGAGAAACCCCATGTCAATTGGGAAAAGCTGATCGTGGTGCCCTGCACCTGTCATCCCGGTGACATAGAACACTAAACGATTTTATGCCAACAAATGTGAAAATTTTAAATGGAAAAATTCCTTGATAATATAACTTGCTGTAATTAAAATAAATCTGAAAAATCTTCCCTGTTAAAGAGAAAGATTTAGGCATTCAAATCCTCCTCACAAAGGCAACAGCAGCTTATCTATGTTCAGTGGTAAACACATCCTTGCATTTAAGGAACAGCACAATTTTGTTGTCTCTCACTGTATGCATCTGTAACTTTTAGATCTAGTTTCCACATATGGGGAAAACAAGTGAGCTTTGGCTTTTTGCACCTGGCTTACTTCGCTTAGCATGAAGTTCTCCAGTTCCATCCATTTACATGCAAACAACATACTTTCATTCTTTTCTTTTTTTAAAAAAGACTGAATAAAACTCCATTGTGTATATGCACCACATTTTCTTAATCCTTTTGTCAGTCATGGGGTATGTGAGCTATTGTAAACAGTGCTGCAATAAACATGGGTGTGCAGGTGGCTCTTTCATCTCCTGGGGTGCAATACCACTACTGGGGATATATCAGGAATTTGCTCCAGGATACAATACAGCCACTTGCACACCCATAATGATGAATTCTTGATTGACCAACAGCTTCTCAGTTCACACTGAGCTCAAGACAAGGATACCTACTATCACTGTATTTAAAGCCCTTCTGGAAATCCTACTCAGTGCGTTCAGGCAAGAAAAGAGGGAAAGGGAAAGCTGCTGTAGAAGGCCTCACGTGCTTGCGTCAGCATCTTCTGAGGCTGTGGGTGTGTAGGGAGAAAATCACATGAAGTGGGCGAGAGAAACTCTAAGGCAGGAACAATCAGCAGAGAACTGGGAATCATCCAAGATCCCTCCATCCAGAGTAGAAAACCTCACTAGAGACTCCAGAAGGGTCACATCCTAGTCATGGAGCTAAATTACCCTTAAAATGAAAGTAATTGTAGACTCTTTGTACAGAAGCTTAAAAGAGCTTCAAAACAGCTAAACTCACAAGTTGCATAAGCTCGCTAACCAGGAAAAGTGCAGTCCTTGAAAGCATACTTTAAAATTCAGCACTCCACAACTTCAATTCAATGCTTGACAAGTAAATAATTAGATGTAGAGTGAATGAGGAAAATGTCAGTAGCCAGGAGGAAATTCAGTTGTTAGAAACAACCCAGACAATGTTAAACAAGTAGCATATATAAACATACACATAGATGTGTGTACCCATATACACGTGCACACACTTCAAATCTTCAAGGTTGCGAAGGAAGATACCTAATGAGAGAAGCAGGAGAGATATGAAAGAGATGAAATTTTTAAGAGATGAAAAATATAAAATCTGAAATGAAGATTTCTCTGGATACAAATGAATTGTAAGAAAGTGTATCCAACAGGGAAAAAGAATTGAAAAAGAATACAGCTTCTTCAAGCACTTGTAGAGTAGTATCAGAAGTCTAATGTGTGATTCAAGCCCCAACAACAAAATATAATATAATAGCTCTCTAGCTAGCCAATCGTTTTTTTTAATTTGACGAAAAAAATATAACCTTAACTAGCCCTAACCAGAATAAACACACCACACACAAGTAAATTGTAAAATTGATGAGTAACTGATTTTAAAAAGTAGTTGGACATGTAGGGTTGGGAGAAATACTACATAAGAAGTTGAAAGGTAAGAATTCTGATACTAGAAACTGGGCAGGCAATTGGAGACTGGAGTTACATCTTTAAAGGTCTGAGAGAAAAACAGCAGTCAAACTAGAATTCTAAATTCAGTAAAACTGCCCTTAAAATTAAGATCAAAGAAGAAAAATGAACTTTCTGTAGACAACAAAAGCCTAGAGTTCATCTGCAGAAGATGTGCATTGAACAATTGTTAAAGGAAGTCCTGCCAGCTGATACTAGATTGAAATTTAGTTCAAAGAAACAAAAAGTACCAGAAATGGTAAATATGTCAGTAAGCATAAAAGTCTTAGTTTTTTATTTCTTTAAAATGTAGCTATTTATAGCAAAAATATTAATGTAGATTTTTGTCATTAAAAATTAAGTAAACTTTTTTGGCCAAGCTGGCCTTGGGCCGCCATCCTCCCTGTCTCTGCCACCTAAGTAGCTGGAATTACAGGCGTTAG